GGGGATAATGTCTTTAAATATGTTTATGGTTGTCGGTATTTGAATGGCGGAACCGAAAACACGCATAAAACATGCAATCTTATATGGAGCCTGCACGCATAAAATGCGGTGATCCGTATTTATCATCAAGTAGACTTGTAGTACGAAAATTGTGGTTTATTCTGGAATGTTCGAAAATTGTACGAACGGTGGGGTTGTTAGATGCGATCGTTCGTCGAACTGATTAATCTATTTAAAGATTGTGACCGCTATTTAAGTATGTGTGGCTACTGCTTATATTAATCGAATGTTCTTTTATAAGAAAGTTTTTCTGTTATTCCATTAAAGTCTTCGACCAAATTACTCAAAGAAAAGACGTAGAACTTTCTGGTCGGTTTACAACTAATATCCGACCGTGTACTATTCTTCGGAAACAATAAGTTTTTTATCCAGTATCATCTTTATCGAGGATGCTTTTACTATTAAAAGAAAGGACAATACTGTTGACCCGCCAATATTCATTTAAATATTCTTGTAACACATACTGTAAGATGAATTAAGAGCCAATCAAACTTTGACAATGGTCATTATGACTCTGTCGAAAAAAAGCCTTTATGACATAAAGGAACGACTTGACTGATTATTCCCAAAAACCCTTTGTTGCAAAAATAAATGCACGCCAATTTTGGATCAGATAGAATTCTTATTATTATGTAATAGTGTTTTACAAGAAATTCACAATAATAATAACAAGAGTCTGTGCAATTATAATTTGGTTTTATGTTAGAAAACAACAAATTTAATAAGAACGTTACTGTCTGCAATAAAGTTTGTGATTATAAAATTGTATTTGACCCTTATTATTATAGTAGTTATTGTTGTCAGCGTAAGCATAAGCATAATTTATCTTGCATTAATGCGATCTTTGTTTAAGACTTTCCCAACGAATTTGCAACAACCTAACATGATGTCTATTTAGGTTGTGTTATCAGCCGGTAAAGACCGACATGATGTCAAATACATGTTAACATGACACTGATTGACGTATTGTAAGCAGCCGTATGAGAGAATTCTTTATCATTCTCGACTAAAATAGCCTTAATCATTTTCGTATATGACATGATAATAATATTCAAACTGATCTGATCTGATCCAGCGGTCTAATCAATTTATATTTAACTGCTCTCTCATGCACACTGGGACAGACATTCCATTTCCAATATGGCCACAAAAGGCACCAAACGTCCTCACGAAAACTCATTCATCAAATCATCTCGACCAGTTGACGAAGAACAACTTCTTATTAACGACTCTTCCCCAACTATTCGTACTGGAGCGCAAGATGTACCGTCGAAGAAGGGCAGAACCAAAGTCACATCCTCAGACGGAAATACTGACTCGAGCAAGCGCAGTCAAAAAAAGAAAACGAACGAGAAAGCAAGCAAAAGTGTAAAGTGGACGACTAAACAAAGGATGCAGTTACTCAACGCCGTTTTAAAGAGAGTTGGTACCCTAAATTGGAAAGAAATCGCTGAAGAAGTGGATGAAAAAGACATGACATCGTGTCGCCAACAATGGAATCGGAAAATTATTCCCGATTTGAAGAAGGCTGCTGGGAATGGTATTAAAGGCAATGAATAATAACTGTGAGAATATCGCGGAGGATATTAAATCGGTTAAACGTTTTGTTGTATTTCAAGTAATCAAACCAATGAGTGTACTATTCGCAGCAATTCATTGCGGTTTTTGTTAAAGTGTATAATTTAGAATGCTTATTGTCTACAATAAAAGCGCATTATTATCATTGTGCATGCTGGTAGCTGTATTAAATCTCGATTCAACTCCTCGTACAGCCAATCATAAAACATATTCGACCTTTATTACTGTTCATTCAAAGCGCAAGCTTATTTGATTCGCCTTCATTATAATTCTAGACCATAAACGGTCTGCACTATTAGTATAATTATAATACACGATATACATAAAGTATTGCACATCTAAAATTCATTAATGCTTAAAATGTCATATTGTAATTGTACGACTGCTTATATGGGGCATACTGCAACAAAACCAGACAAAGTAATCATGGCGCGTAAATCAAAGTAATTTCTTTTACCCTCATCACCCATTTCTCTCTTTTTTCGCACTTATCACTCAGTGTACATTACGTAACCTTGATCATAATTTGAAAATTGTTACATCACAATGCTGCACCATAAACTGATACAATCAATAGCCCCCACACAATTCAACATGCAACTCGCTCTAGTTTTCTCCCATCTAGCCTAAAATATTCGTTATCTCACCTCTCAACTATCCAGTTATTTAATATTAATAGGGATATTTTCTTCAAAATGGTCATTCGAATTCTGCCCACAGGAAGAAATTTTCGGAGCGTAAAAGAGTCTTCGAGAGAAGGATTAAGTATTGTGACACTGTGGAGCGTATTCCTGCGTACTCAAAAAGATTTTGATCATGCGTTGTCATTTAGCAATTGTCCGCCGCAATAACAATAATAGTAGTAGTAGTACAATCGCAATCAGTAAGAAAATCAGGCAGCAGTACACGTAGATAAAAATAGCGCAATAGTCAGAATCCCTGACAGTCATAGTCAGAGACCAGTAAATATCGTTGCTAAAACTAGATTCCATATGAAACCTCTTTTTTAATTCTAACTTAGCACTTATTAATTCTTCATGATCTGTCAGAACTGTTTCTACTTCTTCCACCTAATTTTTCAATTAATTCTGTACAAATTTTATCAAATTGTCTACAATAGTTATTTACTGGCAGTCTTTTCTTTGGGCCGCAGCGAACAAATAGTTCAACACCGAGCTGACTAATAGTCCCTAAATGTGCTGCAGTGGGCCAAAGGATGTGGATGGGCCAAGGTGCTTATGATGCCTCTTCGAAATTGTACCAATTAATACGTTGTATACAACTCTATCCCAGCTGAGCATTATAATTAACCCCTTTCGATAGAAAATAAATCACTCGCCTGCAAGTTACCAAACAGCTCTTCCGCTCTCGCGCGTGTGCTATCCGTCGAAGTAGTTACGCGACATGGTGAGGTTCTTGTGCAAAAGATGGATAGTGGTAATGTAAGAGTCTAAAGGGACACGTGCTTGTCTCAGTGGTTAATAGAGATGTCAGCTGACCATGAAACTCAGACACAGCATTCTAGTGTATAGGTGTGAATGTGTGAATGTGGTGATGTATCCGGGGACCAATCGAAATTATTGAAAGGTTAAAGAAGGGTAGTATCTGAACTACATTATGGTCCACTGGCAAAGGAATAGTTGATCATAACGTGATCAATTAGCTCGATCGGTTCGTCTAAAAGCTAAATCAACTAGACCGCTTTCTGATAAAGAACTACTTTTGCGAGCTTTCAATTCTCGTCTAGAAAAAGAGTTACTAAATCAACAGCCAAAGTGGAATTAAATATTGAAAGTCAGATTTCAAGAGAGTGAAGTAAGAGACAAAAACAAGATCTTTTGGATAGAATTAAGCAATTAGAAGAAGAAAATAAGCAGTTGAAAGAGTTAACTCCTCAATAGTTAATAATGATAAAAGAAATCAATGATTTAAAAACCCTGTTGCAACAATTGCAGCAACAAAACGGTCAATTAATTGCTCAAATTCAAGTTAAAGCGACGAAAAATGACCTTCGTTGAGAAAATTTGGTTTCTTTTCTTTTCTTTTCTTTTCTTTTCTTCTTTTCTTCTTTTTTTGATTCTTGGTTAGAATTTTCTTGCTTGAAAACCCTTTCCTCTTGATAAATTTCATAGGTGATTTTTTTTTGTATCTAAATATGCTTGTAAAGAGTTGGTCTCTGTTAGTTTAAAAATGTAAAGGTGCGATTTTTTTCAATAAGTACAACTTTATTGCTCAACCACATATACATGTTAAAGCTCATTTTAACTCTATCTAAATAAAGATAGGTGTGCAATAAAGGTGCAATTTTTTCACCTTGTTCTTTTCTTAAAATTACTTATTGTGCTATAATTTTTTGGTTCCATAGCGAATATGTAAATTAGTTTCATATACTTTATTTTTATATAGATATTAACATATTACGAAATGTCCAAGCTATTATTCTGTTTGCCATAACTCGAAAAATGTCCACAGAGTTGGGCATGAGTCACTGATGTGCCACTGAAGCAAAGCCAAAACGGTTTGGTAGTTTCTCAGCCACATCAGCCATTTTGAGTTCACATGATCAAATGTTCACTTTGTTGCAGTCTGCCCCATATTATAATAATATATCCTTTGAACGTTCACTAGTTAACCTAGCATGAGGATTTACCCACAACTAATTTTACAATCCAACGTCTGTGGCGTTATTAGTTATGGCAGAAAATTTAATATTAAACAGCTCGTGTGACAATACATAAATGTGGTACTACGCCCTCTACATTCGCCGAAGACCTTAATAAAGGTTTGGTTGGTAGGATAAGAACTTTTGTGTGACATGGTTTTGTATAAGTGGTTAGGAAAGAATGATAATTACAAGGGAATTTTATCTTATACTGTTTCTCAACGAGAGATTGGAACCGCAGCCTCACAGAGGTCAACAATAAATGTTTCACACCATAAAATCCTGATTAATAATATTGATATTGATAGCGTGTTTCGTAGTACTGCTCATTATAATTAAAAATAAGACATTCGGAAAGCTGAAACGAGTGATCGTATTGATCGACAAAAATTCTAGACACCTATAATACGATCCACATACTGGTCCGCTAACTAGATGTGATCCCAAAAAAGCTTATCAGTCGCATGTGATCACATTCAGATCTGATGATGACCATGGATTATTGGACGGCACAGAATTATACTATGCTAGATATAAATTGCTGTCTGGACGCATAGGTCTCAAAAAAAAATTACGCAATAGCACCATTCTTTACAAAAACCACATTCCCTAATAACCTCTGACCGAAAATTCTCTCCGAAAGCCTTTATACACCTTTAGCGATCTTCATAGGTGTATCGAGTAGAAGGCTTGAAACAACGGATTCACTCACCACGATACATAACATGTCATTCAAATTTAACTGGCCGTCGTTTGGTGAGGAGTTTGTCGAGCAAGCGCGCCAGTTGCTGACAGACGCATTAAACAAGAGCAACAAGCCGGCAAATATTGTAGATCATATAACTGTCAAAGAACTGAATATGGGGACCAAGGTAGGACTTGTATAAGTGAGGCGCATTTGTCGGTCGGTGAGGGATGGTATCGGTAGTAGCATTACTAGTGGAGAATCTTTTTGGCAATTAAAAAGTATGACAGTGAGGAGGTTAATAATATAGGCTCTGCTCTTTAATAGAGGAAATATAAATATAAATGGATAAAAAGTTGTCTATTTCTATAACGACCTTACAAATCAACGATCTAATAAAGTAACAATGTTAATAACCAAATTTACATGTCAATCCACTTTTAACTTGTTCTGCCGCTACCATATTTCTCTCACATAAATGCAAATATCTATTTTTCTCCTTACATATTGCCATTTATTTCATTGATGTAGCCACCAGAATTAGAGATTCTTGAGGTTGGCGACTTGTCATTCGAGAGATTCAGAGGCATATTCAAACTAACATACAGCGGTGATGCTCATCTAGTATTACAAACGAAAGTACAGGTATGCAATCCATCATTCATACCATAAGAACGGTTAATCTAGTGATATAGTACGACTAATAGCCTATTTTTATAATTCAACTTCAAGGCGAATCCAATGAACAATAATGCATTAGACATGGACTCTTTCACACGAAGAGGTATTCTTGCTGCTGATCAACCTCTCGTGGTGCCAATGCTTCTTCGGCTTAGCAACCTTAAACTACGTGGAATCATTGTTCTCGTTGTCAGCAAACAGAAAGGTGTTACTTTAGTATTCAAGAATGATCCGCTTGAAGGTGTTGATGTAATGTCTACCTTTGACAATATATCAAGTATTCAACGATATCTACAAACGGAAATAGAAAAGCGGCTGCGAACAATGTTTCAGGAAGACCTACCACTTATTGTACATAAACTATCACTAAAAAAATGGTTCGGGGAAGAAAAGAAAATACCAGAACAGCAACCTAAGGATATATCCGATAGATCTCCCTCACCATACGGAGCAGACGCAAACTCAAGTGATTCCTCATTATCGCCAGACATACGACAATCTTCCTTATCATCGCCCAACTCGGAATCATCATCTAGTTTCTCGCTGGATACATCGTTCTATGGTGACGACGGATATTCGTCGTTCGTTGATGTAGAATCACTAGAGGATGGCTCCGTTGCTACATACTCAAACTTTGGTGAACTATTCGATAAGCATAAAGAAAAAGGACTTATAGCAATAACGCAACAAAAGGACGATCATAATGATGATAATGCAGCTAACAAAACACCACGAGTATTTCATCGTCAAGTACTCGTTCTTAAGCCTTCAACGTGGTTACCATCACCTATTGACTCATCTACTCGGTCATCAAAGAAAAATCAGCGTCCTCCGGTAATGACGCCATCACTATCATCTATGTCATCAGAGGAATCATCGAGACTGTTCCAAAGAATGACAGCAGCCAATCTCCAACGTCATGACAGATATCAAGTATCATCCTCTACCACTGCGCCACCACCATCATTACGCCAATCAATCACAACGTTATCCTCCACATCTATTGTCAGCCCGACTACATCAGCCGCCGACATGCTATTAAGAACAGATTCATACCCTTATACCTCTCTAATAGATGCAGACTATATATCAAGAGATGAAGGCAAGCAGGAAATTGTTCTTCAACCATCTGAAATATCAGTTGCGGCCCAATTGGCAACATTAATGAAGTCTAACCATACAATATCACCATATACAAGAACTCTTCAGCATGTGACGTTTAGATCTGCACCACGATCTGAACGTGCGAACATAGAGGGGAAAAAAACCTGTGGAAGGGTTGCTGTTAAGAGGAGGATTATCAAGATTGCGGGAAGCGCGTTTGGAGGTGGGCATTTGTGGGGGTCGTGATGACGATTGCATGGACTATGGCGGACCATACAACCCACGTTCATATGTTTTGTATTATAAACCAATTGATACACATAATAATAAATCTTACTATTTTCGCAATTGCTAATTTACCTCAATTAAATTGCATGGAAGACGATTCCTCCTATTGCATCATGACATGTCACGGGTGTGATTATTAATCAAATAAATCTATCTATTTAAGTTGAGCATACACTTACAATCTTACGAATGCGGATCAAAGATAACTTTGTATGAGAGGTGATGGATCAATCCTACTTTGACGTATTAAAACCGGATTTATACCGGATTGCATTTCAAGCAGATTAATGAAGATTTACATGGCAGACACATAATGACTTTAATGAATTAACGGCAGAGATGAACGAATACATAATCTTATCAACGTCTGGGTGTATGTATGGATAACCATAAATCGCTCCCGTGCTGCCAAATGTATTTGTGTCCGTATAATACATAGACAATTCCACTTGCTGCTCCTGCAAGATGTGCCTACAAAATACATGTTGCGTCAATACGATATATCTGTTGATGATTACATTTTACACGAAATAATAAATCCAATGCGTTTAGTCGCATCATTTAAAACCATTCCACTTACAAAGTGATCAAATACTCTCCATTTTGCCAATGCTCCTACAATATCAAAGCATACTAGAGCAGGAACAGCATGCCCTATTTTTATAACGAAGAACGGCAGGAACAACAATGACACCGAAGCATTTGGGTGAAACCACGCGCACGCGCTCAAACAAGCATATATTGCGCCCGATGCTCCCAACGATGGAACAATACCCCGACTATGTCTTAATATGTTCGAGCCTGCATGGCTCACAAAGGACGATAAAATTCCCGACGACAAATAAAACGCCATAAACTCGTCACTCCCCATCCTCGCTGCGGCTGCACCTCCAAATGAATACAGCGCAATCATATTTACTGCAAAATGCCATAAATCTTTATGACTAAATGCACTAGTAAGAAGAGTGTAGGATCGAGACGAAAGCGGATTGTGTGTAAAATGACGCATCATGAACGGCTGTAATCTACGGAATTGCCATAGCGAAAATACAGCCGAGTTGACAAGTATTAATGACATCACAGTTCGCAATGTTGGCGGGTGAGAGTACCATTCAGTGTATATAAATGCGTAAATTTCTGTTAGCCATTCTGGAGCATTCCAATCGTGTAATCTTTGTATTTGACGATCGAGCGACTGTTTCAATGAGCGAATTGCATGTCGCTTGAGATCTAATGGTGAAGTGAAATCCATTGATTGGATTTCTTTTAGTAGTTTTGTTCTGGTGTCAGTGTAGTGAATTATCGACAACGCGAATATTGAAGATGTAGCTGTGACAGTAAATATAAATGGTTTCCATATCGTGGGTCTTTTGGCTGGTATGCGAGCCGGTGTTATTTTGTATTGCGTTTGTCCTTGCACCCTGAGTGTGCGTATGTGGCGGAAAGAGAGAAAACGGAGAGGATCATGGGTATTGAAGCTGTATTTCTTAATTTGTGGTCGGTTTAATGCTCTTAGTATCATGTTATCGATCGAGGTATTAAATAGTTGAAGGAAATTTTGATGTGTTCATTACTAGAAGTGATAATTAAGGTGCTGATCGTCACGTTCTACCAAGAAAGATTACAAGTATGGCTGAATATTCCTAGTGGAAGTAATATAAATGTCGTATTTTGTGAGATGTTGGCTAAAGGTTTAGCTGAAAAACATCTTACCAGCTTTTTAGTCTTGGTCTGAGACCATAAATCGAGTCATAGTCGTACGAAGACGCGACGAGTTGATGTGTGCAGAAAAGTGCATTTAATCGTACTTCATTATAATATCAGGTATCTTATAAATACTACGATCAATAGTGAAGTATGTTATCTCATCGTCTACGCATAAATTAAATATACTCATTCGAGGAAAACACGGAAACGTCCATCAACGAATCGAAGATTAAATGCCCATTCTTAATTATATATTCTTCGGTTGTTGTTCTGGCACAGTTTCTCTCCTTGTTAGCGGCAGGGAAAAGTCATGTTTTTTTAAATAGTAAATTAGCAACCCAGAATATTTAATATGTTTCAGCGACAGCGAATATATACCCAACATGTTTAGAGCTAAGTTGAGAACATCCCCGGTCAAAGATTGAGCACAACGCGACCATATAATAGCATCATTAATTTTTGATGCTTTCGCCTAGTTTTAATTTTGTGCTTAAAGGAATGGGTGAATTAATTACTAATGGACGCCCCATATTAATATGTGATTGAAGATCCAGTCATGTGTATGCCTTGTATATATATTTTTTTATTTAATATCCTGTGTAATTCGTTCTAATATTAATTATCGCGTACTTGGTGAATTTTTGATGTGACTTCGATTTTTATTAGATGATTCATTAAACTTCTATGAAAAATAATTATATGCTATAATATTGGTCCTTGTCACAGTTCTTTCGATATCAATTGCATTTGTTTTAACCGGTTTGTAAGACTGTCAATCGAAAGATAAAAGAGTCTCTACTTCATTAACCGTACGAACCAGAATAGTGGCCGGAAATTCGTAACGATTCTTGGGATCTTTGATAGCATTTGTGACCTTCCTGTAGGTGTCTATAAACATTGAGAACACCTTATCATTTACACTTTTGACCAAATGGGCTGGTTGTCCCGAAAGTCTAAGCGTTTCTGAATCAGATAGTGTCAGGAAGGAATCCAGCTTAGCCATCGCAGTCGATAAGGATTTTGTATCCATATTGGGCACAAGGGAAAGAGGCGTCTATTGGAGAAGAACGTTTAGCTAAACCTTACAGATAAGAAAGAAGCTCGTACGTAAAAAGCAAAGCTTACATCCTCATCTTTAATCTCTATCGCATGCATTATTGGGGCTAGACCTGATTGCTCCAAGAGGTTTATATACTAAATAAAAAAAGATGTTGTCAGACTTTGGACAGTAAAGAGGCATACTAAAAGATAATTTTGAACTTGTAGCATGAGTGCTAGTTATACCTGTTCCTCGGCTAAAATATCCATATATTGTCCAATTTGCTCTTCAAGTGATTGGATGCGTCCTTTTGTAAAGTTATATTGAGTTAAAGAAGACTAAATTTACAAAATGATCAGTCCAACAGGCGTTTCATGTGTTGACAGCAATTACATTAACGGTCTGAATTTTACCTGAATATAGTACAAGCAATTGATCATATATATTGCTTGGCTGAAGCGAGACAAGTCTTTGGCACCCAGTTCACACATTCGCTGCAATGGGTTCAAAATCGCATCTAACACGCTGCTAAAGTCAGCTTCACGTTCTGTGGGAGTAACGAGAGACTTATCATATGATGCCATAATTTCTTTCTGCCAAAAGAATAGAAATACCGATAAAATAGTCAAAAAGGTATCAAAAGATGATTTATTGGCAAGACTAAATGTACGAACCAATTGTAGTATAGTTTCTTTAACTGCTGGCGGTGCTGACAGGTCGTTGTTTGGTAACTGGTGAAGACAAGTTGATTAGCAACGGATCTCTTGCAAATGTGTAAGTGCTAAACACTGACCTGCATATATTTTAACAGCTGTTCTGCTTGCGCATTTAAAGTGTCAAAGAAGACACGGGATGCGGACTTCAGGATACTGAACAATAATCGGCATGAGTTAGACTCGTTACTCATACACATTTAATTCGAAAAAAAAAATACCTTTCCAAAGCGTTCGATAAAGCTGCACTAGGTCCCAGTATTCTTGCAATAGTTATTTTATAGAATTGTATGAGATTTAGGATGCGATACGCTGTAATCGCGCCAGTCTGCAGACCCAAAACTTGGTCTATTCTTGTCTGTAAATTTATTTAGTTTGGTTTGCTGTATAGGCAATATTCAGAAAAACACCTTTGGCAAAAACTGACCTTCAATGGTCGACATATCCCTTCAAGATCTCCGTCTAATAAATATTGTATGATAATATCATCACTTTCTCTCTCAACACTAGTTAATGGATGCTTATCTTCAAGGCTTTCTTCCACATTGTCTTTAATAGATAGAAGTTTAATAAACATTCTAAATTTTTCGAAAAGATGCATCATAAATACCTTCAACAACGTCAAATAATGCTTGTAAAAACTCATGCTCCCCGGCAACAGCTTGATGCACCCAAGCTAACATATCTCCAATGTAACGGAATGGATCATGTGCATGCGATTCGATCGGCTTTGGTGTTCCATTTGGTCCTCCCCTCGTGAGTGCATTCATGAAGAGATTAAGTATTGCAGTCCTCCTAATATGTACCAAGTCTTCCAGACAATATCTGTCAGGAAATACAGCGATACAATAGGACAATTACATAGCATTTGTAATTTTATCACATAGTGAATAGGAGATACCAATGTGAATGGAATGCTTACATACTGAAATAGCGTAGGTCTTTGTCTCAAGGCTTTTAATGCTAGGCTTATGGTATTAGATACTTCCAAGTTGTCCTGTCCCAGAGATCGAGCTTCAGTCTGTGTCCATTTATATAATTTATCAAAGGCTATCTCTTGGTATGCATTCATTCTTTCCATAATCTCTAACCTGTGAATTATGAAATAAAAAATCTTGAATTTCCAGCATACAGTCACCCCCGTTAATCCGAACCCCGTTTAACGGAAGGACTAAGTAAAACCCCGCTAAACCGAATTTACTAATTGAACCCAGTTAAACGAATTTCTTAGCGTTTCCCACCTATATTCCCGACCCACTTCGGTTTAACGGGTTTCACTAAGTATATACTGCATACAACTACATAGAACTAAACAAATGGACGTTTACCCAGCCCTCTGATTCTCAGTGATTAATAGTGCATCACAATCACTATATATCTTTTGCAAGTGGTTTAAGGCCTCAAAGAACTCGGGACCAATTTCAACATCAAGTGATGTAAGAATGGTTATTTCTTTCTCTGAACATGTGAACCGATCCAGGAAGGCGTCTATGAGCATCTTGCGCATTTTGCAATTTTCTCTTGAATTGGATAGATATTATCAGAGATATTACTAAACCACCACACGTCTGAACATTGCACGTTAATGACATACGGTTATGTACCTCTGTGTCTTTAAGTTGCCACATTGTTCCAACAACAGAGCTGTCTGCTGGTTAGCAGAATTGAGTCTTTTGCTAATGTCATCATAATTTGTATTTATCGACTTTACTTCTTGTTCTATTAACAATAGTTGCTATTAAACAGTTTGATTAATAACTGTTGTCTTAATATATCTTAAAATATTTTAAGAAGCACAAACCTCTGTGACTTTTTCAAATACTTGTAGCAGCTTTTTGTTCATGTCGATTGATCTTTTTTCAACGTTCCCCCTCAAGTTTCTCCGAGCTGTTTCAGTATTGTCTTGGTATACTTCTGAAAGCGCTTCAAGTGCCGCTTTAGTCTTGACGTCTTCGACTGAATTAGCCAATAATTTCGAGACTTTTAATCCCAATTGATTATCTTCAGCAGCAGCATTGGTTGGCGATGATATTCTGGTTGAGCGAGGCCTTGGGGATATCTGTAATGGCTCAGCCATCTTCAGAGGAGTTTCTAATGCGTGTAAAAAGTACCGTCAAGACCAACTAAGTTTTGTTGCAGGAGCGTGAGTTTTATTGATACTTCTCTCTCGCACTTCGTATTTATATGTTTACAGCGAACAATTGCAATCTAATAGAAATTATATCAACTGTCCCTGCAGTCAGTCACACCATTTACAGTCACACCACACCACTTACACCACTTACAGTCACACCACTTACCCTACAATCCCATATTCACGTGACTTGAATTTTGTGTTTACCCATTATTTTTGTTGCAAATCATGTGCAATTAGAATAAATCAATATAATAATAGTCACACCCAACACTTTTGGGGGAATGAAATAGGGGGGGTCTGACTGAGATGCAAGGCTTTAACTGGCGGGAGATGTAATGCGGAAGTCACGTTCCTGCAACAAAACCTTGGATAACTAATTTTTTCATTCTTAGTAGAACAGTAGAATATAGAATGAACATACGCTAACTAGTCAAAAAAATATAAAGTCGTTGATTTGCCTATGGCTCATTGAGGAAGTTCGAGCTGTCTTGCTTATTTTACTTGATGAAAAGCATTACATAGCAAAAAAAATTCATGCTATTCTTGAATTTCTGGCCTACCAAATAAGAATTTCACAAAAATCGCTCTTTAGTGAAGAATACCAAAAGGTTTTGGGACCTGATTCACTATATAAAAGAAGCCAACGGGCCTAGAGAATTTCGTCTTATAATCTGTATTCGACAGGATATATTAAAATCTTGATCGATCACAATAACAATGCACGAACGTTCATTATAATATAATTTCTCATACAGACGTAATTATCAACTCAATGTGAGCTCGAACCAAATGAATTACTCTACTCCCATGACCTACCCTTGATTAAGAAGCATTTTTTATCACGAATGACCTGGTGTCTTGCTCAACTCTCCCTTAATGATCACGTCTAGATCGCTAAGGGCAACCCTCGCGTGATATCTCGTCAAATCATCCTTGTCTACACCCTCAACATATTTTAGAGTAGTATATGCGCGTTTTAACAGGCGACCATGAATCTCATATAGCGTGCGAGAACCAAGACCACGAAAAAGAGATATCAGAAGTGCCACACACGCTGAAAAGGCATGAGGGTTTGAGAGTATAATAAACATTAGAAGCAGGATTCACAAATGGAAAGAATAAGCGGACAGAAATAGCAGTAGTAAACCGTAATTTATAAAGATCGACATACCACGCCGTATCTCGGGTGCTTTCTCAATAGCGAGAATATTTAAAATCCAATCCACTAGATCTTGAAACCAGTTGGTGAGAGCAGTCGAGGACGTCTCACACGCGCAACCGATGATCGACAATGCTGACATACGAAGATTGGTGTTTGTATCTTTGTCGAGAATTTGCAAAAGCGGTGGGAGCAATATCAAGACTAATCACCAATAATGCAATTCCGTAAGATAATGACTACTTCCCATAACGCGTGGACTGATGAGACTAGTATATGCGGTAACTCACTATATTTTCCAAGCGCATCACCACATCTTTGTATAGTCTGCAAAATAGCTTCGCCGATATGTAATCTACTATCCATCGCTTCCTTCGGATTACTATATATGCTCATTAACTTTTTCATTATCTTCTCTCCATGCACATCCGTAAGCGAAGACAATCCACGGACTGCATTAAGATAAATAAAGCTACAAAAATGCGGATAAGAATTAATAAATCGCTTCGCACATATATACAACCATGTTGTCTATCATACCTTTCCTCTTCTTCAATCATCTTTATAAAAATATCCAAGACGTGATCTAAATTATCGCCTTCATACATAATGGGGTCTCGCGCGAGAATCATCTCTCTAAGCATCACTATTCCCCGTGCACGGACAGGAAGTATAGTATCTCTTAATGCTTCGAGCGCTTCTTGGTACTTCTTTAAAGACTGCTGTCGCTTTTTTTCAGCGTCATCCACGGGCGAAGTAAGGCTACGCACAGATATAGCAATACACAGATTTCGCGACATTTGGCGGATGTCAGATGACCAATGGTTGGAAAACTTGGCAAGACGGTCGGAAAGAAGATCTAGAATGTGATTCTCCTGCTTTGTGAGGTGGGAGTTTTCTAGCAATCGTGTTTGAGTTTGGGAAGCCACAGAAAGTCAGAAACGTAAAAAACAACAAATTAAGAAAAGTTAATAGAACTGCCCGCAACGTGCTACCTGCTAGCAGGGATGTCAAAAGAGTCAGAGCCAGGGCCAGCGTTTCGTCCTCTTCTTGTTGATCCTTTACTGGTTCTTCATCTTCATCACTATCTTCTTCAACGACAATGATTGGATTTCTACTCGAGCTATCCCTACTTTGTGCAGAGTTGCTAAACCCCTTCTGCCCATAATTTTCCAAAACATTATCAACAAAAGATATTATTTGTCCGGGCTTTTGTATAATGGTCGAACCCAGACAATCAATCATTGCAAGGATGAGATGAAGGAGAGTAAGAACTCTGTCCAAAGTACGATAGTGGGTTAAATGTCGTGCCAACAATGATGTGAGCACAAATGCAAAAAGACTCGCACCTTTTTGTTTGCGTTATTCGGACGCGATCGTTTTTAACGGCTGTATATTCGTTCAGAAGATACATAAAGATGTCTCCGGACAATTCGTTATTTGCCAATGTTTTGAGAAAATCAATAAAAATGTCGACGTCTAAATAGGTCACTGTTGGAGGTAAAAACCCTTTCGATCTATATAAAGTTTCACATTATTATTTTGACATTATTTGTATTCTGAGACTAAATTCTCTATCTTGCTCACCTTCTTATCCGCATTTCAATTCCCCCACTTTCGCCGCGGGCGAAATAGATCTCGCCGACCTCCCCAACGTCCTTGGCTTCCCTCTCTTTCCCTCGTCTAAATACAATCTCCTTTATCGCATTCAAGTCTCCAACAATTCTGAAATACGCCAGTAACACATCTCGAAGACTGTCCTTTAACCATACTTTAGCAGTACATGCAAATGCGTACATATAATAAATGGGTGCAATTATATCACCCAAAAACAGTTTCAGAGTCTCCAGGGTAGGAGGTTCACTACTTACTAAAATACGATAGAGGACCATGATAAGTGACGAGATGGTTTGTTCAGAAGTCAACACCGGGTCGAGGAGAGACTGAGTTTCAGTTTCAATTTCAGTTTCCGTTCCAGTTCCAGGCGATAAAGGTGTGTTCCACCAAGAACGCAAAGGAGAGAATAAGGGTTCAATTATAAGAGATTCGGTGATGGTCGGATATTTAACAGACATCTGGAGGATTGTGAACGAGATTACTGTGATGCAAGGGGATGTCACTTGGTTCTTTGGAAGGTTTGTCTGCAAGATTTTAATCAACTGAGGAGAAATTGTTGAAAAATATTCCTGTTGAATGTGCGATATAAAGCCGAAGCGTAATCGTCAGTACTTAATTTGTTATTGGAAAGAGCGACTTTACAAAAGAAAAATCAATCACCTGAACAGAAGACGCTTGGCTCGGAACAGATAAAATCAATTGAGAAATTTTTGCCATCTTTGTCGGGCTCACTAATGGCCAATCGGTAATCTAACGCGTCAACACAAGTCCCATCTTGCTCTTCCGTAAACCACTAACAGAATTATACCTATTCTTAGAAATCAAACCTTCGTTCTCGCCTCCAACCATAAAATCAACCACGGCTTGCACACCATCAGGTCTCAGTAATACTGATGTGAGTAATTTGCCACAGACAGTTCTGAGCCATTTGGGAGCTGAATGAAGAGGAGGAGAGCCAAGGAGCGTAATAAGAGAGTCTAAAGAGCGAAACATGTCAGCTCTAAAAAAAGTCGAACGAAGGAAGCGAACGTAAAAATTAGTCGAAAGTAATTTTGATTGTAACGTAAAATTCATGTGCGACTTTACCTCGTAAAAATTTCGTTAAATAGCTCTTTACTATGTTGACGGATCTCATTTCGTGTATTCTCATTATCATTCTCCAAATTAGGCGCATACGCTAATTGTAGCAATGCTGCATATAGATCCGTCAAATGCTTTGCAAACAATATTGATGATACCGTTGTATAAGTTAATGGTTTCGTGGGGGTGCAGAGAGCTATCTGCGTCAATTTCTCTGCTAAAACAAAGAGCCTTTGTTGGTCTGGTTGCTCATTCGATCTCAAAGTAGAAATGTTTGGAGAAAACATCTCTGTAAAAGGTCAAATTCAAAAATAAGTAATTAATCAGTCACCCTAAAAAAAGGTCAAGTACTTAATGATCTGGAAGATTATCTCGTACGAAAGTTATCGGATTGGACAAATCCTGAACGACTCCTTTGTGCAAGTGGAATGCCGACGCCTTTCATAAAAGAGGGGTAAATTCCCCAGCATACAACGATCTCCAACATTGTATGGATCAATCTCATGTCCCGTATTCCTAACAGCTCTTTCGCATCTCCGGAGTTTGCACCGTCTTTTACGTATTATAAACAAAAGATTTGGTATTTTTGAGGGGTGAGGCATTTATTTATTTAATGGCAAAACGTAAAAGTCATCGTTAATTCTTATTAAATACCTTCAGCATCATTTATATCCCGAAGGATCAATTGGATCGATTCAAGTGTTGATAAGCAAGTATCAACGAATTGAGTGTAAATACTGGCATCGGTGGTTGTGGGTTGTTGTTGTTGCAGTTGTTGGGAAGCGGGTAGAGAAACCTTGGTAAGGCGTCGGGATAGTGTATCCTCAAGCGAAGCTCCTGCGATGACGTATTAGTGAGATAGTCTGTAAGGAGCGGATTGGTTTTCGTGATACTAAATACCTCGAGTGTCAGACTCGGTCTTGCCCGCCAAAACGTCTGCACGAGCAAGTAGTTCGTGCAACTTTTTTCTTTGTAATGACTCCATGGGAAATGATATCTACTTAGTGGTGTAACTGTTTAAAATACTTGTAAACAACTGTGGAACCATGGAAAATCATCGCGTACAATTAGATATTAATATTAATTGATAAAGAATGTGTGCGCATTTATACAGCTATATGTAAAATGAATTCGTCCGTAGCTGTCTGTTCGTTCTTTGTTAACACGGTCAAACAGAATAAATGCATTTTTAAGGCAATACAAATAGGCGCCTCGGTAATGTCAAATTAAAAAAAAAGCCCAGGCTAACAACACCAACACCTTTTCCCCCCCTCAGTATCAGCTAAGTTGGTCATATTCTGTATATATATCCACCAAGTTTACATGAAGTGCCCTATCAAGCAGAAATCGGCTAAATTGTTAAGGAAATCCCCATCTTTGCAAACAATCTGACACCATATTTACTATTCAATGTTGATTTATGAGTGCTTGACATGCTCGGATAGTTAGGATGAAATATTACTCAATATTTCGTTAGGTGACTGCGATCGAAATATTCTTACGTTTCACCATGTTTAAAGTTCTGAATAATAGAATATAATTTAAATATAATTATTCGATAGAATTGACCTCTGATTAGTACGCGGAGAAAGGAGTTGTATAGTCAGATACAACGCACGACTAACAAAATGACGTAAATTTAATAACACAAAGGTCAATAATGGATTTTACGAATACAAAGACGCATGAATGGGATCTTGATTCGTAATGCGTAGCAAAATGTGTACAATTTTCGATGCAGTAATACGACCCTATGGCATGAGAAAATAGTGTTCGAAGGCGTACTTTAGGTGATACGCAAATGCAGAATGATATAGGGAATAGATAAAGAAATTTGCGCTTTTTCACGTATTGCCAAATTGAGGTATCGTTCCGGAAATACGCGTGAAGGCAAAATAATACAAGAGCTTTGACGTGTGACAGAATGGAGGGATGTAACGTTACAAGGCCAAAATGTGCCATTCCTAATGTGTCGTCCTTCGGCAATAAAATTGATCATGGGATAACTGCGCATATAGACTTGTCACACTCGGCACAATTAGAGTTTTTTTTCTCCAAATTATGATGTCAACGGGTACTATGACGACAATATACTGTACACAACTTGGAATATGACAATAACAATGACGTCAAAGAAGCAAAGCATCCCTAAGAATAGCAATGCGTTGACTATAGCCATTCGATTATCTACTTGATCCTTCACACAAGATTGATTGTGAATTAGCAAACAGAACAATTGATTTGCGTCTTGTGCCAGGAAAGTACTAGCTTCAAGGGCGAGTCAATGAGTCACTTTTCCGGTCTCCTATGTCGTCATTTTTATTTTGGTTTGTCAAGGACAACGCAATGGTCCATACTAAACGATTTGCGGATGATTCAACTCCTAACATGTTCGAATATGTTCGAATAGCAAGCATGGTTGATACCACTGAACTGTTGACATCAATACAGAAAGTTATCGCCATTGGAATTTGACCCAAGCAGAATAAAGCTTCTTTAGTTTATAAATTCGCATAATAGAATTAATTCTCTTTTTTCAATTACCATTACATAATCCATAACAAATAAATATTTCAGATCAGATTGATTCGTGACCAAGCAATTTCAAAAAAATATCTTCTCCATTGTACTCAGTTCGTTTTTTATTTGTTCACCCGAAAATTCTTGTTTGACAGTGACTGAACGAGGATCATGTTTATCTTCTTCCTTACGCTTGGATAGAATCGTTTCGATTTGAGCAATCCGATCTTTTGATTGTTTGCGTAAATTCTCGCGTGACTTGTATGAATCACATACAATTAGATTGTGCCAACCCTTGAAAAGATCTTGTGACTATAGTTTGTACTTACTGCTTTTTTAGCTTCGGCTTTCTGCTTCTTGGCCCTTAGCTTTGCTGCCTCGGTTGCCTTTTTTCGTTGCTCTAATTTTCGCTTATGGAATCCTGTTAAATATTCTCTGCCAAACAATGTTTCTTCAAATGAGCCCGTTTGCGTTTACAGATTCGCATCCTCTAGCGCACCGTTTATAGATCATACTCACCTTCTTGCTTGCTCATCAAACACAATCTCTTTTACTTGCTGAGACTTTCGTTTTCGTTTTCGCGCATAGATTTTTGGCCCTGCCGAGAGAATGTTCAATGTGTCCATGACGCAAGACAAATTTTTTTCTTCGACAGAATTCGACTGTGATGTCATACAATATGCATTATTACAATTCTCAATAGAATTCATATGATTTGAGTAATGTTACGCAGGCAGGTGATACAAACTGTTATTGGATTGAGTAGACAGTCGGAACGGCGAGGGATAGCGACAAGATTTCGGGTTTAACGGTGTGTGACTCATCATGAAGTATAAACGTTAAATGCGGCTCTTAACTTATTAGCTTTAGTCTTCAAAGTAGTAATATAATTTTTTTCCCGTTTATTTCCTTATACTAATCTATAATGAATTATAATACAAGAAATATTGTTCATAACTATTCATATTTCATTAGTAAAATAAGCGAAACCGAAAGTCTATACAATTCTATAAGCACGATTGTGTACATAATTACAAGAAAGCACAAGATATATGACAGAATAACCAATTTGACAATTCTTCGTCCATAATCACTGTGTGGATTTCCTGACTCCAATGTCCTCGAGATTTGGAAACAAATATTCCTGCTGCTCATTATCTTCACTTTCATCATCACAACTGCTCTCGTATAATAGAACATCATTAGACATATTTATTTCATATGTTTCACTGTTGCCAAACCGGACTGTATTGCTTAGTTGTGAAATAATCGTTTCATCATCAACCTGGAAGTTTTTCGATTTCCGCCTTTGCGAGTGGCTTACGCATGATGAAATAGTCTTAAATAACGGAGTTGATATTGTTCGAATAGCTGGATATGTTGTATGAACTGTAGTATCCTTTGCGTCCATGGAACTAGCGACGACGCAGATATCATTACTTGATGTGGACAAGGTATCGCTTGATGAGGCCATAATTTCGTCGAAAATTTAGAATAAGAGGTATTTATTTTTTGATTGTTTTTGTGTTTTGTTTTTTTTCCTTTGGAAAAGTTGTAGGAAGGACAACAGAATATTTTTCACAGAGTGCCTAATGCGCATATTTATTGCTGAATTTTGACTGCGTCATCATCTGCGCAGAGTTCCCCCACTGTAAATCCTTTGTATACCCTCCAATGACAAAGAATGCAAAGCAATCTACGCCAAGGGACAAATTCTTTGTCAAGACCCGAATTGTGGAACTACTTCACTCGGCAAGTGCTGACTGTTTGGGAAGAATGTTTCACACGTGGCGTACTCGTGGTGGTTAAGAATGCCTTCATATGGTAATTATACGAGTACAGTCAGGGTGACGTATATGCAGGTGCCGAATGGTCGATCAGAATAAATGCTTGTTTAAAAGCTTGGTCGTGTCTCACATGATTGAAATCGGACTATGTTGTCCGAATACTGAATGCTAAGAAATTTCCTGTATGTATTAAATATTGGCTTATCATAGGCACACTATTTTTGCTACCATATATTGCCATGAATAAGTGTACACAAGCTTGCAAATCTCGGTTGCCAATTTACCTCAAGTCCTGATGCACGTATATAAACATGCTATGATACCCAATCATTGTGCAAGATCTGTTTGAAAGTTGTTCGACGGAAGAGAGGATGATACAATAGATAAGCATGTTTGGCTAGCAATTTATCTGCCTAGATAACAGGTGCCTTAGCATTATCGATAGTTGTATGCTGTGTCAGGTTCATGCATGTTAAATTCATCAAATTCGTTCGATAAAGGTATCCCCACACCGGCAATAACAAGATTATGGTAGCTGAATAATTTTCTTATTAAAATTTGGCACAAGCGCTTGTTGCTACAATACAGTATATCGTACAACTTGCGATATCATACATGTATTTTATAAAGCTTTTATTGTTCTACAGTTGTTTGACAGAGGTAGATTTCGTTAACTGCTGTATTATAAGTCAAATGTAGCGAGAAAGACTGCAACTGCCAACCCCCCCCCCCGCGTCAATCTTGTACTTTAATATTATGTAAGATAACTTGCGTATAAGTTATGAACTTTGTAGATACACAACGATATCTGCTTATCATAGCATAAGCATTTTATTAGCTTGCTGTTATTTTCAAAGAGAAACGTAGAAAGCATTCATACATCGAATAAAAGTGGGTATATTACTAATTCTGCGTAACTCCTGGTGCCACAAAGAAAATTCGATCGAAATGTGTCACGTCAGCGCTGCAAATAACATACAGCCGCGTACACAAATTCAGCAGTATACGTTGTTAAAAAATAGATACAGTCAACTCTCTTTATAAAAACCACCTTTGGGCAAAGCAAAATCGGTCCGTATAACCAGCGGGTTCTTATATGAAACGTAGTATCATTAAGAATATACGATTTGGGAAAGTAAAACCGGTCCTTATAAAGAGAGTTGACTGTATAGAAGCAGTGTAGATGTGTGTTTGATTTCTTTATTCATATTATCGTTAAACAAACTAGTAGTTTTTTATACCCTGAAATACTAATGATTCGTTCCCGATACAGTTGTGAACCACTAATCCCTATATAGAATAGGAATATTCGTGACGTTATATTCGCTTCAGTGGAAATGCGTTTTAGATAAATCCCAACCTACAGGCTTCCGAATTACCGCATTTTTCGGACTAAAGTCCCAGTGGTATTTCCTCGTTGTACCATGAGGTACTATGCATGGAGTGGTACTTTGATCGGATAGTGGTATTATACTAGGGGTGGCATTATACTATAATAGGACGAAGTAAATCACTATTTTATTGGTTGTAATAAAATTTGCAACATCTTGCTTTAATATGAGAAAAATGATTCGAAAGGCACGTATTACGTGTAAACAGCGTCGTTCTTGGTGTTCTAGAGAGAAGTTTGTTATAATGAGCATGGTAGATATTGAAGGCGAGAAGTAGATGGGTTTAAGAATATATGGTGATATAATAAGCATGTTAAATAATAATAAACGCTGTACCATGCACCAGATAGTATAAATCGTTGTTTCATCGGAAAAGACCACTTTATTCCGAATGCTTTGCTTGTTGGGTTAAAATAGGGATCCTCCGGAAGAACCGAAGCAAAACCCATCATCTTATCCGTGCTAAATCAATATCTTCTTCAGTAATGGTCATGAATTTATCGGAATCCTCGCTATGATCGGTGGCCCGTTCTCTTAAACGTTTCTTTGCTGAGGCGTGGCCTCTTCGGTAGTTTTAGGAGTCTCTACAACCTCGAAAATTTCAGTAATGGTTTTACTAATTTCAGAATTTTGGAATTTCTAGACGTAGAAGCTACTAAAGGTATCTCTTCTAATGCTTAATTAATAGATTCTGAGACATTTTATTATTATTTTTTCAATGGAATTTGCATTTGATGGAGCGGGTAATGTATCTTGGTTATCGCCAATGCCATTGGTATCTGATGGGTCGATTTTATTTTTCCGATATTTCTTTTATAGTGGAGCTAGATTACGAGTTTCTGACTGAGATGTGACAATTGCTGGGACGTCGAATATATGAATGTCCACGGATCTATTAGTGGATGAGTTATCTATTCAAACGGGGTCTTGATTACAGAGAAATTCATGACCGTAACAAAAATATATTGATGATGGATGCGGAAATAATAGACTTTGCACGAGAGTAAGGCCTCACCCCAGAAGAATTATAGGCGTGAGGATGAAGAAATCATATTTCGAATGAGGATATTCTTCGATCATACATCTAGAAGAATGGATAGCCTATTGCACAATTTAGCTACGTTTTCCCCCATTATTATCCTGTGTCACCAAAATCCAATCTCTTTAAGAAATGCCCGTGATCTCTGGCGAATCAATATACAATTTAATAATTAAGTTCTAATACTGTAATAAACGAAACAATGAAAACTGGGAATATTAATATGTGGGTCGAAGTAAGCCTCACAACTTCGTGTATCACCGGTCTCTGCAGGCAATAATAATAATAATGCAAACAACACTCTGTAATACGTCATGCAGACTCAGAATCAAGTGTGTAAATAACATGATAACTTGATAGTCACGAAACGTCATTGGCATAGAATCCACAAAGCGATGGATTATCTGTTGTTGTTGAATTTATTTATAAAGCGGACTTGAAAAAATCCTTTACGCATCAGCTTTTAAGTTCCGCGTTTTTTTCTATACGAGCTTGTAACCCGTCGCTTTGCTGACGGTCTACTACATATGTAGCGTGTAACCGCCAACAATGCGTAATAACTATGACGAAAATAAATTATTAAACACTAGATATTCGTCCTAATGCTCATGGTCTACGTAAAAACAGTTTACATCTTTTGTAACACGTGCCGTACGGCACCCCACCTGGGAGCCTTCCTGCGCGAGTGCCGAAAGCAGCGGATCGCCAACAAAAAACGCAACAGTCCCAAACACGCCTGGTGGAAAAATTCATGAATGGAGTTGCTAATGGAATGACGCAAACGAAAAACTGCTGTACTGCCCTTTGGGCTGTTCCCCGCCTCTGGCGGTCTCACTAAGGCCTTTCGAATGTGAAAACTCTTTGGTTTCTTAGTAGTTTCTGAAAAAAGACAAAAGTTGGCTTAATTATTCTTAATAAGTTTCTTAATGACCATTTTGATATGTCAAAAAAGTTTGCTCCCGGATTTTCTCCAAAACGAACGGATTACTAAATATAAATTGATCTTTGAAGCAGAAAAAAAAAAGATTCCAATGATCCTGCCACATTTGTTCAATGAAATAAAACGATACGCCCAGTTGCAAATTGTCGCAACGGCGTTCCCGGACAGACACAAGCTGCTCTTGTCGACTATATTGTCAGTTGTGATAGTGTGAATTTTAACAGACTTAATAATTTGTTTCTGTTCAGAATTGGCCCACAAGTTACTACCTGTCAATACGGATTTCCTTTATGGTATGAAAAAACAATTATTTCTTTTATATCTGTTTAATCAATGTTTCTAGTGATTTCGTCGACTTATCCTTCAAATAAAACATATTAATGTTTTGATCGACCCATATTAAGATTTTGTCCTTTGAGCATACATTAATATATACTTGTCTGGTTAACCAAGCATACCATTGTAATACAGGAGTATGAATACTGACTTAACAGATATGTCCGATCAAATATTACATTTATTAACCAGATTTTGGTATTTCCAATTGTCTATTGGTTGAGAGTTCAATACAATGAACAGCGCATTACAAATTATAGAATTTTGACTGCAAAACTCAGTGCAAGTACAACATGTAACTATATTTGCTAAACAAATGTCATAGACTGTAGACGGACATACCCGTAAAGATAGTAGCATTCCTTCGTATGGATGCAATTACCTATTTCAAGCACTGGCTGGAAAAATTCTCTTACTAGTTGATGATGCCATTTTACATAGGTCTCATGGAGAACGTCCCTTAACGGAATAGCAGATATAATAGATATGACGCTATCGAATCGCATTAGATGGTGCGCCTTTCGACTCTAGAACTAAAATAAGTTTTGAAGCCTAGACACGAAAATTTCTTTCAATTGAGTAATAAAAAGCACTTTCTGGACAAATAGACGCTGCGGTTGTTATTACATTAACGCAAAGTATTAAATATATTTTTGAAGTGGCATCTATGAATCACTGACTTCTCGAAATGTCACGGTTATATACAATTAGTTATACACGTTCCCAATCCATGAACAATTTTATCACTGATATCAATAATTAAACATTCGCCAACTCGCTCTTCACCATCTTATGTGACAAGTTTGCGTAAGGATTGAAATTATTACTTGTATCTTAGCAAGCAGCGCTTACTTGGGCCAAGGCATAAATACTAAAAATATTAAATAAAATTATTCAGTAATCTTTGCGATTACAAATTTATAATACATTGACATAATTACCATATCAAATATTTGCAAGTGCTTGTCTAAATTAAGTAGTTTTTCCAGCCAAAACAATGGTGGATTACACGTTGGGAAACATTACCCACTACATTATATGTAAATATGTGTAATTTGCGTGTCATATAAGGAAGTTAGATAAAGAACTTTTGTACCAGTTAACCTAATAATGTCAAACCAAGGCAACTAAATATGGTTTGTTTTGAAGATCAAAAATTCTGCATACAAGTCTGCATATACTTTTGTTTACTGTTCTAATTTGGTATAGTCAATTGAATACAGAAAACTCGGTAAACTTTTTCAATACAATATAAAATAAATACAACATATGCATGGCCTTATTCCAGTGTCTTGCAGGCTGGCAATTTACCATAAATCGTATATCGCGTGTGAAAGGCGCACGGACCTTTTTGAAAAAGTTTAAATATACGATAACATATTAAACAGTTGACGACAATGGTATGCAATTTAACGTGATACGTTAATAATACTTAATAAACCGAGTATACGCATATTATAAGCAGAATAAATTTATATTGTCCCAGTTTAATTAATAATAATTTCTTAGGAACGTTTCGACGCATATTTAGTGTTCACTCACTTGGACATATTCCAATTTATTAACACATAGCTTACCTAAAAGAATCTCTAAAAATGACTATCTCAAACAATTAAAACAATTTTTACATATTCGTAATAACCATACGATTAAAAGCAGTACAAACTATTTATATCGCTCAATCTTAGAATCATAGTGATTTAAAGGAGAATATACAAGGAGAGAGTATATTTTATAAAAAATAATAAGATATACAATATACTTTACGATTTACAAAGGAAAAAATATATAATAATAAAAACGATGAAGAAAAAGAACCATAAAAAAAATATAAAGCAGTGAATTGCTTTTGTCCGCGAAAAAAAAAAAAAGAAAGAAGAAGAGTATATGCCAAACGAATATATAGTTAATCTAAAACAAATAAATGGATCCTGGCGTTAATTCTTTCTTCTTGTCGCACGACAATCAGGCTATTGTTCTCAATCTTACCATTCGTATCGAGACGCCAAGAAACGGATCGTATGTTTTTTGGTCGACTGGTGCTGATGGTGCGTAGGCAACTGCGCACTTGTTGTTTGTCGCGGGGTCTTCTTTCAGTAATAATATTCTGCAAGAAGAAATAAATAAGATTACATGCGCAAGGACAAGAGAACGATTTGTATTGTCAAGACTCTAAACTTACGCTTTCGTCTAATCCCAAAAAAGCGACTACATCAGGATCGTTATCACGCCAACAGACCAAGTTTTCTAAGAACTGCTCCAAGTGATATTTTCTGCGTGTGATGAAATTACTGTTGAGATTACCTTTTTGGGGAAAGACATTGAATTAGATCAACAAATATACGAGTATTGTAGAGCGGTATTATTTCGTGTTTGTTATCGCGAATATGTATCTGCTTGGCCACTTTATAATGCGCTGTTTATACGTGCGTGAATCCGTTTCATATCCAACACAAGAAATGCTACATTACCTATGAATCGTTTGGGAGGGAGTAGCGGTAATCTGACCCAGCCATACTTTTCTTCAAGTTTTTCGTACAGTGATACGAAGTCGTGATATCGTTTGTACGTTATTGATTCTGCGATTGAACTGTCGAATTTGCGATACTGGGGGGGGGGGGGGGGGAAAGCTTAGAGGGGATGTTTGCATAATAAATTGGAATCATAGAGTTGTAAGATTACTACTACTTACTACAGTCGATATACGATACACGACGTACGATTGAAAGCCGAACAATCCTTCTGGTTCTATGTTCCAGTCGGTGATCGTTACTTCAAAAATAAGTTTTTGATAAGGTGGGGGTGCAATACGCTCGCGTCTTGGACCTAAAAACAAAAAGGGCAGCAATAATGTCAAGGATTTACATTCACCGTGGCTAGCATGTGAAAATTTGGGATCGGTGATTTTCATACCCCACGTCAAATCATATCTCGAGTAGAACAATGGACAGTGTGTGGTAGATTCCATTTGCCGAATAGTGACCGTACGATATAATGCTTAATTTGAGAGTGTATGGACAATAACTCTTAGCTATATTGTAAGAAAGCCAACTAGAAAGAGAGATAGGATATCCAAGAAAAGGTAAATTGCGGCATAGTAGTCGAAGATGAATCTGAGTGTATGAAAAACAAAAAGGATGAGGGGTCAACGAACTCCTCTTGTCGGAACAGAATCTCCAAGAGCGGAGATTCGAAACTCCCTCAACTAAGACATAGTTGTCGAAAACAGGCACGTATTTATAATCGAACAAAAAGTGCAATGACACATGCACAGAAAGTGAAGACCAAATGCGGTGTTAAACATTAATGTATTGTAAAGGTACATCAATGATATTTATTCTTGATTCCAAGACAAATCCTGTTGGATAGGCCGGCCTGTCGTATAGAATATCACCAAGTAATGAAATGTATATTTACGAGATAATGTTTCAGATACAATATATGATGTCATTTTAAATATTTGGCCTATAAATACCAAACAAATGAAAACAGACAAAGGTGGATACACCACATATGGTCGGCAATCATGACTTTCCCATACGCCACCTCCATTCTCTCCCTACCCTCGACCAAGGAAGCCCTTAGAGCTGACCGGTGTGCAAGCAACGCACGATTTGATTCGCTGGCTAGTCTTGGATTGGTAGACGAATAAAAAATTATCCGATTCAATATTGAGCAACAATGCAAAAGAGTCAAATTATGGATGACGGATATGGCTATGAATGTTAATCATGTCGCACCGTATTTCGACTTTTTGTTAGGATCAAAATTTTGAGTTGACCGTTCATTCGTCGCTTTCTTTATTCCTAGCACCATTATAAGTATCTCATATTACACCGCAGAATTACACGACCGCTTCTAATCTGATGGGTAAAAGTGAAAATATTCCAGGGAGAAAAGCGTATGCGCAACGGCGATCGTGGTGATTGTGGGAAAGGTACAAACCTTACATAAGCCTGGTCATAATATAGTTGCATTCCGTAGCCGACGGTCCGTGAATATAAAAAGGTTTGCGTGTTTTAATATAACGACAAAGATAGTATGAAACGAAACTCATCGTATCTTTATGCAGTTAAGCACAAGAACTTATCCCACAAACGTAACATGGAGCAGGTGGTGTTTAATTTGAATATGGTTGAACAAACAATTACATCAGATCCACCAATATGTGCCATGTAAGTGTGTTTGTTCCTTTAGTGGACAAACGAAATATTATATCAGCGGCACAGAGAGACAGATTCATTGATTGTGTGCGACACCATTCTCTTTCCGGATATCTCTCAGTCGCACCATGTTTTGTTTCACCTTATCTCAATCTTTGCTTAACTCTATCGGGGATGGTATACAGATCGATCTACTATCGACTCCATATTGTCACTTGTTCGTATCGGTTTGCCAGGAAATGTCAAAATAACCGCCACGACTTGACATGTCACATTTCCATTGGGCAGTGCACAAGGTATGTATGTAATGTATCATCCTCATGGCAATCGACAGCGTGCATTATCTTGCCTAGCATGCCTGTTATATCTCTCAAATGATCATGGAACCGCTGGACAGGGTGAGGCTCAAACCATATTACTTATCGTTAGCATACGAAAAGGGCGTCGTCGCTGTATAGTCGTGGAAAAGCGGATAAGAAGATCAGCAAATGAACTATCATATGAAAAGGTATGGGCATGCGAACATGCACAGCCACAAAAGGTTTTACGATTGCAAAACTGCTGAACGCCACAGATAGATTCTTATTAAATCAGGCCACTTTGGAAAATGTAAAATCGGCAATAGTATTGATCGCAAATTTTTTTACAGTCTCTTATAAATGCACGCCAGTTGGATGCGTGCATTTAGGGAAGCATTTTATTGGTTTCAACTTGATCTAAAATTTTTTCTATCGTCACAACGCTCGTAATTTTTAACGGTCGAGCACTCTCACATGTTTCAGTAACTCTTCAATGTCTTGTTGAATGAACGGACAATCAGTTACGACCGCCCAAGGCAATGATGTAAAATATACCTGCTTAAACACCATGATTCACTGGGTCTGTTAATTTGATATCTTACCAAGTTCATTACTGATTAACACATGTCAGACATCCAATGCAATTTAACAGTACAAATCACATGAATATTATGAATACGGAGTGTATACAACTATTTCTAATAAGGCTTGGCGTGCATTTACGAGGGGGGGTGCATTTATGATTTATGAGGTGCATATTGAGGGTGCTGACTGTTTGATTGATGCAGTGTCGATCTAAACGAGAAAGCAAACATTCGATAATTTTCAGTTGCACAGTAGAAAGATAGCAGGAATAAGAATAAAATCCACTCCTTCATCGTTTTCTAAGAATTGATTTTCACTAATTTTTTTTCCACGGTTTAAAGCAAATGACAGGACAATTCGTTTACAAATTAGCTCTACCTACTTCTTCAGGTTTGGTGATTGGCCTGATCTGGTTTCAAGAACTCAGACGTTGTTTGAAAGCACTATTTCAGCTCAATGTTGCATAAATTGCATATCGGGTCTTTTCATTGCAAATTTGTATTTTAATTTCTTTAATCAATTACATTTTAAGTCGTAAATAAATGTCGTAATATAGAATAGTAAAAACGTAATATCTGCTTCAATTAGAAGTAAAGATCACAGTATCTTCTTGCACTTTTAAAAAAGTTTAATTGAATTGCTCGCACTTTTTGTCAATTACTTTTTTCTAGTTTATTCAGAAAAACAGTGCATATCTTTGTTTCAACAAATAAAAATTTAGCCCGTGAAATCTGCTAAAGAATTTTTCCCCCTGAACCTATGACCCTGGTAGACCTAGCTTGTCTCTGCTAAACATTATTATTATGTAACTAGGAAGGATCTGTTGGTTTGTATCTCACATTTGGGCAGTTCATGGATAACTCTCAAACATGTGTTCACACTGAAACTGTCACATCAATGCCTTGTTATGAAGCAAGCAATTTGCCATATGCATTTGAAGACCTGTGCTTTTCACCTGCCCAATCACTTGGGCCATGTAATGCTTATAATTTGCCAACTGTTTTATTCAATTATCCATCAGTAACTTTCATAGCATAGTTGAAATGTTCAGTAGCAGTATAGATAATGTACTTTTACTGTAGAACAAGTTGGAATCATCAATAAACCATCATTTTTTTGTTAAAATTGACAAGTAGAAACCATTTCCATGATGATAATAATGAAGAAATGTGAAAGACTCACAAAAGAATCATAGTGTGGGAGTGTAAGTTTCTTGTATTGTTATAACAAAACCATGCTGTTAGTACGTGTATTACCCGTTATACTGCATAGGTCGCGCTGATATTATATTGCATGGGCTCTTGCTAGTGATGTCATCACTCTTGTGAGGACTAATGTTAATAATGACGTATATTTCTCCCTAATTTCTGCGTAACTCCGATGATATCACAAACATTAGGTGCCAGAAAACGGCAACGCCGCAATATCAATAGCAGTCAAACAATAATTAGCTTTTACTTAGTATACTGGACCTCAGAAGATATATAGAAGCACGACTATTAATCATGCTCGCATCATGTTTCCCATGTCCTTAAATGTTCAATCATGTTCATGTTCATGTAATGTTCAATTAATATTCCTTTCTAATAATACAGTAATAAAGAGTAGTTCTTTATAATCTGAAATTCATTCTCTGGTAAATTACGGTATAGCTGAGAAACCGTTAATCCCTATATCGTCTAGGAATATTCGCCCTTGTCCCGCGATTACTCTCGTGGCAATTACGATAAATACTCGTTTATTAGCAATGCGTTGAGAATTATACAAACACCCCAGATCTATAGACCATCGAAACTAATCCCATCGGTGGATAATAGCGAATATACTCGAGGAACGACGTATTTACCGAGGATTAGCGTCGATCGATCGACTATTAGAGAGTCGTGAATAGGAAAGCCTGATTGAAAGGTCACTCACTAACTGTCGTCATATTTAACTTAGCGACCACCCCTCCGTTGAAAGGAACTAAAGCCCAAGTGTCAATAGTTATCCACTCTCCCGTGACCGTTGGCATGGCACTATCATAGAAATTAAAATTATACGCGTGACTTATCAGACTTATTAACCAGTGAAAAATATTTTACTTTGTTACTCCGAAATGTTACACTGATACTATTAATATACAGGAAACAATTATGACAATCGCAATTATGATGAATAATGTGTTACATTAGGCAATATACTGATGCCCGTTTATGCTTTTTATGTACCAATATGTGTCATCTAACACGCGAACACGCGTCTATTCATACATACTGTATATACACCCAGACGCCAAACCACGCTGTTAGTGCTACTCGCTATACTGCATATATTATATCGCACGGGCGCTTTTGTTATTGATATTATCACTATCATAGGAATCAGTTTATTAAATTTATACGCGTAACTTGTCGGACTTGTTTTAACCAGTGAAAAATACTTTTCCGTAAATAAGAACAATAATATCAGTGTAACATTCCGGATATGATGTAATGATGTGTTACACTAGATAATATATCGATACTCGTTTATGCTTTAATATTGGTTGACAGTGATCGTTGTGGCTGACTCTCGCACTCCTTACTGCGTAAATCACGACAATATTTATACTTATAAGGTCGCGCACGACAACAATATCAAGTGTCATTTAACACGCGAACACGCGTC